AGAAGAAAGTGCCTCCCAAAATTTTAAAGAAAGAAAAGCCTATATATGTACAAAAATAAGGGTAAACTTGATGAAAGGATGGAATATGAGTGTAAAAATGAAAATTATAAAAGTAATTGATAAGATAAGAAGTTGGTTGAAAAAAGAAAGAAGAGGATTTAAAAAAAAAAAAGGAGAGAATGTGATCAGGCAAGAGACTAGAACAAAACCATACACTAGAGATTTAGGGTATATTTTGGTCTGTTAGGAGAAACTGTATCCCAAAATTTTAAAGAGAGAACAATTTATATATATATATATATATACCAAAAATAAGGGTAACTACTATGAAGGGATAGAACATGACTCTAAAAATGAAAAATAAAAAGATTTTTTTAAAAAGGGATTGATAAGATGTTGGTTGAAAAAGGGAAAAAGAAAAATTCAAAAAAAAAGAAAATTAAAAAAATTAACTTTGGAAGTCTAAAGTATCAGGAGAAAAAAGCCACGAATTCTATGTGCAGTATTCCCCTAGTGCTGGAGTTCTGCCATTCTCATTGATCGGTAAACTTGGTCTTGGCTGGCTGTTCTTGCTGATCTTCTGGGGGAGGGGCCTGTTGCCGTGGTTCCCAAATGTCTTTGCCAGAGGCAGAATTGCCCTGCCCTTGCCGGGTGCAGGCTAAGTAATCTGCTCGGGTTTGCTCTCGTGAGCTTTTGTTCCCTGCGAGCTTTCCCTACGGCTTTGGAGGACGAAAGTGAAAATGGCGGCCTCCCAATCTCGGCCTCAGAGGAGCCGAGAACTTGGGGCCCCGCTCCTCAGTGAGCCCCCAGAGAAAAGCAGTCAATCACTCCCATCTCCCCAGTCTCTGGCCACACTCCATGTTCACCCAGCCTGTGACTGAGCATTTCTATCTCTGGCACATCACCCCATGTGGAGTCTCCAAACCCAGTAGATCCCTGCAGTGCACTCCCGCACCACTCCTCCCGGGGGGAGGAAGGGGAGTCTCCCCGGATCTGCCACTTGTTGGGTCCCTGCTGGAAGAGCAGTGGCCCAACTGTGCCGCGGATCACGGTTTATGGCAACCCCAAGCTCAGAGCCCACTCCTCAGCTCCATTTCTGCAGCCGGCTTCCCCACTCCGATACCTGGGAGCTCTGCTGCACTCAGGCACCCCCGGTCTTCCTGTGACCCCGAGGGTCCTGAGACCACACTGTCCCAGTGAGGGTTCCACCCCCTGCTTAGCCATTGGAGTGACGTCCCTTAGCAGAGTAGACTTCTAGAAGTTCCAATTTTGTGCTCTGCTGCTCTATCACTTGTCAGTAGCGGCTGACGGGGGCTCCCTCCCCCACGGTCTATCTTCCCGAATATTGCCTCGGATTCACTTCTCCGCATGTCCTACCTTCCAGAAAGTGGTTGATTTTCTGTTCAGAGAGTTCCTGCTATTCTTTTCTTTGATCTACTTTTGAGTTCGTAGGTGTTCAGAATGGTTTGATCCCTATCTAGCTGAATTCCTGGAACCAGATGAAATTTAGGTCTCCTACTCCTCTGCCATCTTGCTCCTCCCACCCTAGGCATTGTTGATCTTAAAAGCAGCAGATTTGGTAATCATTTAGTCTGTTGCCATTGACTGTGGAGTCAACTGAAGGAAGAAACCCAACTCTGCAATAAAACTGTTGTGAACACAGTAACAATGCTGCACACTTAAAACCCACGAGATGGAAGTCTGGGGATGATAAGACCCTGGGAGATAGAACCACATTTTAGTTTCTCTGTCTCATTTAAGTCTGTATTAGCTATAAGTTATGTCCATAAGTTAAGTCTGTAGTTAATCACCCACTGAACATTTGGGGTAAAATTTCAAAAGCATATGTCCTTTTTCCCTTTTGATAAATATAGTTACATTTTAAATAATAATTATTACATTTTTAAAAAATGTCTAAGAGCAACTGAGTATTTACTGTGAGTCAGGCATTGTTCTAAGTGCTTGACAAAATATTTCCTCAGTTAATCCTCCCAATGATCCTAAGGTAGACACTTTCTCCTTTCCTTTGTGAAAGGAGGTATAGATAGATTAGATAATTTGTCCAGGTTTACACAGATTTTGAGGGACAGCATTTGAGCCCAATCAAGGAAAAACATTAAATTTGTTTCAAAATCAGTTTCTCTAAATATTCTCTAAAGTCTAAATTAAAATAAGAAATAGAATATTATTTATAGTATATATTTAAACATTGCCGAATTTATCCCTTGTCTCTAATCCTATGACTAAGGCATTATTAGCCAAGTTTTGTAGGTGAAGAAACTAAGATTTGTTACTGAAGTTCTTAACTACAGACATAGTAGTAGAAAGAATTACTTATTAATAAAAGTATTTCTATTGAATATAAAATGTGTAAGTAAATCTCATCTGTCACTCTAAAATGAAAAAATGGTGGTTGAACATTCCATAAAATACAAATAAAACTCAAACACCTGCATCTCCAAGATTTTACAACAAAAAAACTGTGTTGAAAATATTCTCCAGGTAATAAAAAGAATTGGAACAATGACTTCAATGTGTATCACATTGGTCTTTTAGAGTTATACTGCAAAAGAATTTTGAGATTCCAAATAAGCCTCATGACAAGGTTAACCCATACCACTGTCACATCTTTTATTATTATCTTTCCCTCTGAATATCCACACAATTCTAAAATCCTTGACCACATGTTCTTAGTAAAATAATAATAATAATAATAATAATAAAGTCTTTAAAAACTACTCCTTAAATTGATAGTTCAATTTAAAGAGAGGTGTCTCTATCAGTTGACTCTATCATTGTTTAGTCCATCACCCGCACAGTGGTTCTGAAATTGTCCCTGATGGGCATACCTTTGAGTTTATTGTGCTCAGAGTCCGCTGGGAAGAGGGAATCTGGAAAGAGCTTGGGGAAGGTGAGTCCTGCATACTTGGGCCGATTCTCCACATAGTTTCTTACTGTAGGTTGCAATTTCTTCATGAATTCCGGACATGGTGTTCCTAGTTGCTCAATTACTTTGTTCCACTGGTCAATATCTGAGAATTGAAGAGTTAAGGGCAAAAAAAAGTGCAGATCTACTAGGTCTTGCCTTTCACTAGTTGGGAGACTAACTGCTTCTCCAAATCCTGAGCAATCACCAACATAATTGGAGTTTAATAAGCAAAAAAGGATGAAAATATAAAACCAGAATTGTCAGGCAGTGAATCCTCTTGGAATTTTAAATTCACTTGTGGCATAAATGCACTTTTGGGGAATTAACATTACTTAACAAAATAGGATATCATGAAATAGTCCTTGAGTTGTAAAGATAAAAAGGTATTTAAATAACAGCAGAAGAATTTCTTATATTGAGATAAGCTTCTATATAACCATGTGATTTAAATGAGAAAAAATATGAAACAAAATAATAGTTTTATCCTAAAATTACCTCAATCATTTATTTTCTAAAAATGACAAATACCTTATAAGATTCATTTACATTTTTTAAAATTCTTTTTAAAATTTTTTTCTCCCTTTCTCTAGGAAACTTCATCTGTTCATGTTACTAATGCATTAAATATGGGATCAGGATAATTTTTGATAATAAAATAACTCATTATTCTTCATCGAAGACTTTAAAAAATTCTAGTTAATCAAAGTAGTCACAATTTCATACCTATTTTTGTTACTTCTGTTAGTAATGCCCTGCATTCCTGAATATTGCTTTCAATGAGGTACGAGGATAAATATAGGTTGTTCAACTTAAGACAACAGATTTCCATCCAAGTGTATGTATTTCAAAAGTACAATAGTATGGGGAATTCTACAGGCAAGTATTACTTCTCTATGAAAATTGATACTGCCAAAATTGAGGATCTTTGACAGAGGATCTTTGACAGATATACTCCTGATTGAGATTTTTTCATTTATCATTAATATTTGATAGGTCAGAGCCTTGAGAATGAAAAAACAACTGGAAGAAGTTGATTTCAAACAGATTTCCTTGCCGTGTGTCAATGAATGATAGACGCCTTAGAAATTATTCTTAAATACAATAACACAGGCAGTGCTTTCTCTTACATTGTTTATTTTTCTACAACTCTATCCTTTAGTGTTAATTAATTCATTTCTGCTACTGTAATTTGTAACAGTTCAGGGATCTAACCATAGTATTACTCAGTTGAGATCTGTAAAATCTTTACCCCTAGCTATTCAGTAGGATTGGACTAAAAAGATCAGTAGTCCTGACAAAAGACAAAATTAACTATATTTAACAAAATAAATATATAATACAAGTAGATAAAAGATTGAACAAGGATAACATCAAGCTAATTTGCAAATCCTCTTCTATCTCCCTTATAATCTTGCTGAATAAAATTTAAATTATTACACAGCCTCTTAGTTATTAGGTTAAAAAATATATGATTGTGTAATATTAAAAAATGAAGGGTGGGTGGGAAAAACTGAAGAATATTCCTTTACAAAACAGTAGGAACAATTAAACAAGAACATGTTTCAATAAAATTTCATCTAAGTTACAACGTGCTTGAGAATATAGTAGTAAGTTAGACTCATTGGAAATAAAGAAACGAAGATAACAAAAGGTCAGAATTAAAGGTTATTCTTAGACAAAAACTTATGTTAGTACTATGGACATAGGTAAACTATAACTACTTAGAGATATTTAAATAGAAAACACTAATTAAGGTTAAATAAATCTCCATGTTTACACTATAAACTATGAAAAGAGGTCTACTCTCTAATACAGTTAGGTTATCATGCCCTACCAAACCATCATTTAATCATTGGTCATCCTTCCTTCAATTTCTGAAGACCTGATGTCAAACTAAAAATTAGGGCAAAGAAGCTGTCAGATTTTCCATAAAGGAGTCATTTAGCAAAGTTGGAAAATACTCCCAACACACTATTATATTCTAGTTACATTTAGCTAGAGTTACAAAGTTATTCAATAAAAAATTAACTGCTTGTAAAATAGCATTCCCAAGATAATTCCATGGTATTTTTACAATGAAGTTTAAGGAGAGTCAAATATTCTGGAAGTTGTTAAACAAGAACTGTCAAAATGTTTCTTTTTACAAATTATAATTAAAGTCTATAGAAGCATTCAGTGTGCTTCCAGAATGCTTTTTAGATGAAACACTACTATGGTCCTAGATATAATGGTTTACGAAAAGAGGGAAAACAAGAATCTTTATTATTGTCAATGTAGTAGTTGAATGTTCTAACTGCCAATATGTGGTATAGTCATCTTTAAAAGTGTGTGCCTTTATTTTAACCGATCCATTTCAAGTTCTTTGTTCCTGTAAACATGAATAGTTATATTTAAGTAGAAAGTGCTTCTTTTCCAGATGTTCAGAGGATCTCAATATGAACAACTATATTCAATTATTCTTAGTTAACCACATGATTTTTCTTTATAATCATAATTAACCAAATATAAGCCACAATTAGAAGTCATATCTTCTGGCTCGAAGTCCAGTGCTTGTTCCAATGATTCCAGTAAGGAAAAGAGCAAGTTTGGAATTGATGTGGTAGAAATTGCTTTCATCTGACCATAAAATTGATAGTATGCTTGTCATGAGCCCTAAAGAATGTCTCTGAAACTCTATTCCTAGTTTATCAGATCAACATATTCACACATAAGATAATTAATTTTATTAATATTTTAAATAGACAATAAAGTGATATATTTTAAAAGAATTTTTGAATTATCAGATTTCCACAGTGATCATATTTTTTAAAAATACATCAAATATTAACTAGATTTTTATGATTATGTGTTGAGAACATATTTTTTCAAAGAATGGCTAAAGTTATTTTTGTAAAAGGATTTATTTGCTTTAAATGATGATTCATAAGTATCATTTTTATGCTGAGTAAGGATCTGAATATTTAGAGATTCCAGCCTGTGTGTTATCACATTTATAAAGAATACAAAAGCTATTCAATATAATGTTCAAAATATTTGATAATTTATTTCAGTAATTACTCCATATTTCTCTACGTAAAATTTGCTCTCCAAGAGAACTCTTACTTCTGAGGACAATTTTAAAGATGAGGATAGAAATATATATATTACAGTTTTTTATAGTTATGTCTTGAGCTGTTTTGTTACTTTAAAATTCTTTTACTCTTTTTGTTTGAAAATGTTAATTTTCTCTCAAAAGTCCCCCTCAAACTCTGGTAACATGAAATATGAATAAGTGACTTAATGCATAATAGTAACTAACATTTATTTTCATTATAAATGAGCACAGAAAGAAGAAATATTATGAGCCAAAACACATTAAAAAACTTAAAACTGACAATTTGAGTAAAGGCTATTTGGTCACTGGTAGCAGATGTGAATGGAATACTATGGGACATAGAATATCCAAAGGCTGATATTTGCAGCATGATGTGTACAGATCTCAGTACAATCCATTTTGTCTTATAAATCTATTTATTACTGTAATCTATATTTCCTTACAAAGCAAAAAATGGAGAGACATTTCACATATAAGCAAATCCAATATATATAAATATGTTGTCACAACAGTAGAATTTTTATTAAGCTATTGAAGGTTTATCTTTGGGGCCCCTCATTTGCACAAAACCCTTACAAGACTCTATCTAATTTGATATTTGTAATATAAATAAATTATTGTTTTTATAAAATACCGTCCTCAAGCTGTATGATAATCTGGCCTCATAAATGCTAGATCTGACTCTACCTGCATTTTGAAACTGGGAAGAGGCCTTGGAGATAATTTAATTTGACATCTGTATTTTATAGCTGAAAAATATCAAAGTCCTTTTAAAATTGTTAATACAATGACTTTAAACAAAGGAGGTAATAAAAACAACTAACACTAACAGAAATATAAAATTCTATTTAAGGGGAGTTTTGGAAAACTGTAGTCTGTTCTTTGAGATGCTTTGATTAAATCCATTTCTGGGCATAACACTATATTAAAGGGAGATAAAGAAGGGACAATCAGGTTTATATGAGATCAAGAAAACATGCCATATGAGGCATACTTGACAAAACTTTTTATGTTTAAATTAAAAAAAAACAAACAGAGACAATCTCTGCCCCCATCCTAGCACTTCAACCCTCTTTTTTTTTTTCTTAAATTTTTAAATAACATATAATGTATTATTTGCTTCAGGGGTACAGGTCTGTGATTCATCAGTCTTACACAGTTCACAGTGCTCACCATAGTACATACCCTTCCCAGTGTCCATCACCCAGCCACCCCATCCCTCCCATCCCCCTCCAATCCAACAACCCTCAGTTTGTTTCCTGAGATTGAGTCTCTTATGGTTTCTCTCCCTCTCTGGTTTCATCATCCTAGCACTTCAACCCTCTTATTCCTTAGTCACAATCCCTTCTAATACAGTACTTTTTATTGTAAATTTCATGATGACAAGGTTTCAGTCAGTTTTGTTTACTGATAAATACCTGGAAACAAAAGTGTCCAGCACATAGTAAGTGCTCAACAATATTTGTTGAATAAATGAATGTCTACTTTAAGTTCAACCACGGTTTTATAATGGAGATAATATAAAGAATAAGAGAGAGAAAATATTCAAAGAAATGAAAACTGAGAAATTCCAGGAACTGTAGATAGGTTGGAATTTGGGAAACACAGTTAGTCCCAAGGGAGAGAAAGAAAGAAAAAAGAAAGAAAGAAAAAAGAAATCCACACCAAGTTACATGGTAAAGAAACAGCAAATAACCAAAGACCAAGGAAAAAAATCCTAAATGAAAGCAGAGAGAAAGGACAGACGATGTCCAAAGATGACTACTAGACTGACAGCTAATTATTCACCAGAAATACTGTAAACAAAAAGCCAGTAGAATAGTATCTTTAAAATGCTGGAAGAAAATAACATGTTAATCTAAAGTTCTATATCTAACAAAACTATCTGTCAAGTAAGGGAACTCCATTCAAAAAGAAAAAAAAAAGTTTTATCATCAAAGACTTTTATGAACGAACTTTTAAAGGATATTCTTTAGAATAAGAAAATAATCTCAAAATACATCACATCA